ATAGCGAGTTTTTGAGGTTTAAAGCATACGGGATCTTTGTAGCTGCCAGTTGTGGCCTTCAGAAGCGGCTTCGGATGATTTCGCCACTGTAAAATACATGGGATTACTGCAAAAGTAGTGGGTTTTATTCAGTTTCACATCCCTTCCCGGCTCGTAACTTTCGATATCGAAAAATCGCCATCTCTAAATTTTGATGTTGTAAAGAAAAAAATTCTTTTAAAAAGTTTGAAGACACTTTTTTTTTCTGTGCTTGTTTGAAATTTTGTTTTTATTGTATCTTTGTGAATGTTTATCGGAATTAAACTGTTCGGCATTTTAAGCGCACAAAGCATAAGAAACAAGAGGATCAAAGTCGTTAAATTCTATAAAGAACGGGCCAAATTACATGCTTTTAAAGATAGGCAAGTTAAGCGGCAACTTGGCAGATTTTGCAATTGTGGAGGGTGTAACTTGGCGGAGGGTTCACTTTTCCAGGTTTTCTTTGCGGCTTTCTTTATGGTAGCCTAGACTCTACTAATCAGCAAAGAATAAAAAAAATCTGAGAGGATGTTGTTCAGAGGTGTGCGATTTCGCATGAAATGGCCCGTAAAATTTTTATTTTTTGTATCTGAAGATACGAGCATGTAGGTAGTTTTTAGCGTTTATTTTATTTCTCATTGCTGATAAACAACTGATCACAACTAAAGTTATGCATTCAAACTTTTTGTCTTCAGATTGTACAAGATTCTTTGCAAATGGACAGGGACGTTGTTAAGAGACGAGACTTTATCATCAGAGGCCCTCATGACCCAGCTTTTATACAAGACTCGTCAAAAAATAGTAATATAGTAACTAGTATTTTAGAAAATCCTTCTGAGTCGTTGTACAATCTTCAATTGTTGTATCAACAGCTATATGCAGTTACTATGTTTGTTCTAACCGTTAATTTGTTTATGTTAATGCACTGTGATTTCTTCATTTTATTACCTGACAGCTGTTTGTAACTTCAGTAAGCGAAGAGGAGCGGAACAGATATGTCGCTCGTATCATGGAATTTTCTCTTTTAAAGACGAAACAATTGGCTGCAAGAGCATTTCAAGAGGATTTGATTGGGAAATTACCTGGTGTTGTGGAACGCGAGTCTCTAATGGTTAGAATATCACTGTTGTGGCTTAACGAAAGATTTATTCTTGATATGTTTTAGCGCTTTTTAAGTATTTGCTCTCTTTTTATACTTTAAATTATGTTTTAGAATTGCTGTCTCATTGATGCGTGCCTTTTTTGTGTGTTGTTGACGTTCTGACATTTTTATTTTGAATGCTTCCTTTTTTAAGCAAGCCGGTCATCTCCTAGATGCAAGTGCCCGAATTTATTCATTTCGTGTGGATGTAACTCATACAGCGGCTTACGAAGTTAGGTCGCAATTAGGAGAAGGTATTTTTTTTTCTCTAACTGCAGATGCAGTGAGTCTAATTCCACGAAAGAGAAGGTTCTTATATGCCGAAATTCAATATTTTTTTTTCAGATAGAAAGGCTGGTAAGACTTCTGCTAATGGTGTCGTTTTACCTGGAGTTTCGGCTAATGGTGATAGTGAATTGAGTAATGAAGAAGTGAGAATATTATTATTTTATTTTAGAGTTTTTTTTGTTGGCTACCGTGCTGTTTGACACATTTGGTATATCAGTTTAAGTATGTATGAGGGTAGTTTTTATCAGTACCCTTATTTCCTTGGAAATTTGCAAGAGCTTTTCAGTATAATTTCTTTGGTTTTATCGTTACTGTATGTGATTACAATCTGACTATAGCCAACGGGAAGCGAAACGAGAAAATTGGGGACTACATCTGCATTTGATGCCGAATATGATGATGATTTGAGCGTGAAGAAAAAGAAGTATGTTGAATATACGGTGGAAGATCTTCCTGACACTGTAATACTGACAAAGGAAGAATTCATGAATTCGAATGTTGATGTAGAAAAATTTTTGCAAAACTATGCCAAAAAGAAAAAAAATGTTGCTCAGAAATGTGCTTTACGACGAGCAAAGGTAATTGAACTGGTTATTGTGGCTTTTCATCACTTCTGTTTCTTTTTACTTTTTTTTATTTTTTAGAGACAGAAGTTGTATTGTGAGTTTAAGAAATTATAGTTATGAAACTTTTCATTACCGTGTATTCAGGTATGTTTTAGATCAATTGTATTGTTCATGAAATGGGTGATATAAATACAGAAGTTTCCTCGTCTTGCCATGATCATTTGTATGGCAAGGCTGCTCGCAATTTTGATGAAGGGTCTTGTACTGGTCTTTTGATGCAGAATGCGTTAACTGGTGACCAGGGCCGCAAAATACGTCTTCATAATAGACCGTGTCAATACAAAGGTTATGATGAAGGAAGTGTTAATGAACAGGAGATGTCTGTCTTGTATGGTAAGTCTTTATGAAAAAGTTTCCTTTTTCTTCTTTTTAAGAAAACTGCTTTTACTGAATTTCTTTTTTTTTTGCACTTTTTGATGCCAGCATTTCAGATGATTTTGAGAACATGTTGTTGCAGCGTTCGAATGAGAATAGGTCAGAAATGGAGAGCACGGAAAAGGTAAAATTAGTCTTAAATTTTTGCACTTATTTGGACTGGTAATGCAAATAGTAATATTATTACGTCATTCTCGATCGATGCTGTACTTCCTGAGCAAGTCAACTGTTTATTCCCCCAACTTTCTAATACTTTGTTCTTTTGGTCTTAGAACTTCACAAGTTTTGAATGTTTTTTTTTTTTCTCGAAATCTTCAACTAAATTTTGTTTCATTAGCCAAAATTTATATATCAAATTGTATTGTGGTGTCTTTCTTGTTTTCTACAGCCTCTCTTTTATTAAATTTAAAAACAAGAGCTATCTCGTTTTTTCAAACATTGTCGCGTCAACAAATGACAATTTATTGTTTATTATTTTTTTATTTATGCCTGTTTTCTTAGAATCAAATTAAGGCATAATAGACGACCAAATAGGACCTTTTTCTTTATGCCAAGGACAATTCATTTATTTGTAGGGTTTTGGCTAACGTTCTCTTCGTCTGATCGTTTCACTGTACTTGGTTGAGTGATGGAGAACCGCACTAAACCAAGCGCTTTGAAAATTTTGGACCCTAGTTTTTCTTCACACGCACCAACTAGTAATCCCGTCAGATCAGCACAGAGTTCTTCAGTTTAGGAGCTTTACTTAGGATGACAGCAGTCAGAGTGTCAATTCTCAAAGTAGGAAATGTCACTTTTAAGATTGCTTCAAACTATGGAGGCGTTTGAGGGGTTGGTAGGGGAAGGGACAGCTTCAAGGAGACAACGAATGCTTTGGTTGCTGGTTGAATGTGGTGAAATTTAAGGTTGACTCAGGTTGGATTAGAACATTATTAAAAGCAGTTAATGGAGGTACCCCTGCGTTTCTTTCCCAGTAACTTTTTAGTAATAGTGGTTTGTTATATTGCATAGCTTTCCTATATTTCTAAATTAATAAAGTTAGGAGCAAAATTGGAACCACGCACTAACAACGAAGGGAGTAAGAGAGGCCTAAAGATGAATTGGTGTTGGCAGTAATGAAATTTTTCCGGGATCAGAATGGCGGGCCAAAAAAGCTTAAAGAACATTGAGTTTAGATATGAAAGATCATATGTTGCAAAACCAGCAGCAGGTATTATAGTTGCCCATGTCTAAGGTAAATTTGGACACTGAGTTCTAGAGGCGTTTGATTTGAACCTTAGTAACTCCAGAATGGTTATAGGAAGTATGTGACAAGTAAGGTAATAGATTTTTGTTTAGCGAAACAGGTATTTTTTTTAGGTCATTCTGGTTTCCAATTTGCTTGCTTTGAATTTCTTCTTGTAAAAGTTCAGGTTTTGAAAGTAACTGGTGAACATTTTGATAGCTGAATCTTTATCGTCTTCGTATTCTTATGCATATTTTGCTTTTCTAGTGAACAAAAGTTTTCTTTATAATGTTTAACAATTTTCTGTTTATGCCCAGAAAACTATGTCTACCGGCGCTTTTGGTTAAGTTAGACTCTCTCAGGAACATTTAAAATTTTGAATGTTTTACTTCCACAGTATGGAAATTGTACTTTAAAAGGCAGTGATAAATTAGTCTCAATTTTTTGTTGAATGGCTTTTATAGACTGTGCTTTGCAGGAGATCAGGTCTTCTGAAATAGGTTTACTGGCCAGGGATTTGAAATACTTTGATATCGTTGCGTGGCGTATCCGTGCCCAAAAGAAATACGGATTAACCACCAAAGACATGCTTTCCATCATTGTTAGTCAACTTTTTTGTATTCAAGAATAAGTGTTTTTAACATGGGAAATAACTGTTTTTATTAGGCTAGAACCATGTCGTCGGTGGAGGAGTGCGAAAAAAATGTGTTATTGAACTTGCTTATGCCGGTATCATTTGAATTAGCACCAGTTTATTCATCTACGGTTATTGCTAAAATACCTCAAAAATGTTTCATAACCAGCGAATCCTTATCTGCATTTGAGAAGTCGCTTAAATGGATAGTCTTTCGTAAAAGGTTTGCGAAAGAATTGTTTTTTATCGTATTGTCAGGATTTTGTGTTTTTTTTTTTTTTTTTTTTTTTTTTCC